GATCTTTTCTACCTCCAGCCAGATCGGAGCTGCCTTCCCAGCAGCCCTCTGTGGTTCTCGCCCGCCCCGCTCAATGACAGCAGCGTGGAAGCCACGATCATCCGAATCCTTGCTGTCCGAGGGCTGCAGGGGGGGGAGAGAGAGGGTGCATGTATGGCCCCGTAACCACTGGATGACCCATCATTTACACCTGATCAGGAGGACTCATTGTTTGAAGGACTTTTTTATTAAGTGCATCAAGATTGATTTAAGAATATATACATAGTAAAAACATCAGCATGATTCAATGAAAGATGGCTGTTTAAAAACACACTGTTTATGAACAAGTGGCAGAAAGACACCAGATGTTTCCATCAGCAGCTGGTGGAAGCTAAAAATAGAGCTAAAAGAGACTTTAGAGATTACAGCTGAATTTAAAACTGTTTCTTAAACTGTGAATAAGAGTTTCATCATGCCAGCTCCATATGTCAATACTATATCACCAGTTTGCCTTGAATTTTGGCTGACCAGTCAGTCAGCAGGCGTGTGAAAGAAGAAACCTCCCAGCAATATAAAATCTGAACAGAAACCCGCCTCACATCTGTGCAAGTGTTCCTGTCATAGCTCGTTCCACATCAAGTTGGCAGCGATGTTTTGTTTTCTCTTCGTGCTGCTGATTGCGAGAGCTCCGCGTTGGTTAAAAGGCTGATCTGAACCCTATATAACTCCTCTGTGAGGTCAGACACTGATGTAAATTCTTTAAAGTTACAACAAAAAAAGGCGTTTCACAGGTGACATTGCAGTTTTAGCACATAATACATACATTAAAAAAAAATCAGGAACAAACTAATCATTAACATTTATCTCATTTTAAATGGTGTATATATCTTTTCATTAAACATCTCTGAAAGGAAGCTTTAAAAGTTTGCAACATTAGCTTTCATTGTGTCCTGTACTCTCACCTCTACTTCCTGAATTAAATTTAGACGCACAGAGCCACAGCTGGTTTCTCACAAATACTTCTATGAGTTACTTTGCAGGAAATAGCAAACCAATACATTGGCCCCATCTTCGCACAGTCCTGTCCATCAGGATCTTCTTCAGTCAAATAATTTGGCTCATCATGAAAAAACCAAAATGTCAAACTAAGGGATGAAGAACAGAACGGGCATTAAGTGTAAAAGCTAAACTTTGATTCTGAAAATGAACAAAAACATTTTGATAATTTGTTCAGTGTTCTTTTTATATGCCACTACTGCATGTTATAAAATCTGGTTCCTCTTTCTCACTGTTTGTGTTTTGTCGCGGTCGTTCTAAGCCCTTCTCTTTCAGCTCACCACCTCACTGTCACTGAGTACCGCTGGTCTCTCTTCTTTCTGTCTTTTCCTTACACTATAATCCACCGTCTAAGGTGACTGTTATTGTGAATAGGCAAACCATGTAGTACATTTCATATGTATGAAGTGTAATATAATGTAATTGGGCTGAATCAAACCTTTCATTCAGCGGTGAGCCGTCCACCCACAACCAT